ATTGATCATTGAACGTTTTAATTTTGAGTAGCCTAGTTATGGCAGTCGCCGGAACCTTCTACGGAGTGCGACGACTGTCTCAGTCTTGGGAATAAAAATTGTGAATGGGAATGGGAATAAAAATTGTCAGAGCAATTGACAGAAAATGAAAGTTGGCGTAGGGTTAATTAAGTAACCGCATGTATATAAAATAATGCTTTCTCGAGTGACCTTTCAAGCATTAAGATTGAAAGGAATTTAATGGACAGAGAGAGAACCGATGGCTTTACCGGATATTTACAAAATGTCGTTGTGACGTTTGGTTATTGACATTAAATGCTTTTTAAAAATGACATGGAAGGACGTAAAAAAGTGAGTTAATGAAAAATCCAAAAAATCTTCACATGATTGTTAATTGTCAATGAATAGTCAGGTATTTATTATAAAGAGAATCGGGATTTAAAGAATTAATAACCGTCATATATAATAGATGGATAAGAATTTTTCAAAGTTTTAAAAATAATTCCAAATTTACGTGCCGCCAAAAATTTTAAAACACTAAATATTCATTATTTTTCTCTATTTTCTACGTAGACAGAAACTTCAAGATTAAATCGATGAATTACGAAAACAAATTTAATGGCATACAGTTTCTTGAATAATTTATCAAATAAATAATTAAACTTGGCTATAAAATACCATGTACTCGCTTATATGCAGTTATCGGACATTGTACGTTTTAGTGTAGATAAATTCTGTCCACTGCATGTGTAAGCTTTATTCTATTAAAATAATTTTGCTAACGATAAAAATTTGATTAAATTAAAGCATAATTGGTAAACTAGCGAAAAATGGCGATTACTATTAAAAATATTGTATATGCGTAGTCTGCCTAGCAATGTGCTTATATATATATATATATATATATATATATATATATAGAGAGAGAGAGAGAGAGAGAGAGAGAGAGAGAGTGAGAGTGAGTGAGAGAGAGTGAGAGTGAGTGAGAGAGATATTAAGATATAGAATTTCATTATATGAATACATACTCTTATTAGAGAATATATTTGAAATAATAATAAATCAACAACATCACGGTTTTTTTAAATATCTTCTATCCTATCACCATAATGTATATCGTCGTTATTAAAATTTCAATACCGCGCACTTGTATTTTTCACATACCATATACCGTACAACAAATTACAGTGGAATGTTAGAATATTGATCAACTCCGTGATACAGTAAACATTTTAAATTCCAAACTTATTTTATTTTATTAATAATATATAAAATCCAAATATCACGTGTAAAAGTTTTTATTTCGGATTGAATAAATGTTTATAATTATATTCGAATTCATGCACATGTACTTGTTAATTTTAATAATTGTAATTTTTAATTGCTAAGTGAATGGATGAAATTTAAATATATCTTGATAGTGGGGCTAATACGTATTTATTGAGTTTGTATTTATTTCAATTTTCTTTGCCGTAGATGATGATTTTTTTTTAATTATCGAATATAATCTAGCAATATAATTCTTAAGGCTCAATATTTTAAAAAAAGCTAATCTTTCAGTCCAAATTATTAAATTTCAAGGCCCTTAGACATCGTACCTTCCTGTAGAGCCATACAAATGCGAGTACCTATATATATATTAAAAAAAAAAAAAAAAAAAAAAAAAAAAAAAAAAACCAATAAGTTTATTATTTATAATTACGAAATGATTAAGGCAATAATTAGTTTTATAGAGGGAAAACAACGTACAACGAACCTCACCGTTCTTTCTTTTCATCGTACGAGAGACTACCGTAGAAAAAAAATTGACGCTCTCGATGCGATGGAATAAAGCAGATTCTCTCACGTTTAAGTGTACTTTAATGCCCAAGTAATTTTCCTTGTATATTATGTGCAATCATAAATCGCGTGCTCTAGGAGAGGCAATAGTTTACGCTTGTCCTATCTGCTCTTCTCCGATGTTATCTTCCCACGTATAATTCATACACGAGGAAAGAAAATGTTATTAGAAAAAGAATGTACCACCGACGTAAATTATCCTTCTTCACTCTCTGAAATATTTTTATTTTTATAACTATAGGAATCTAATCGTTTTAGCTGTCTTACCCTACACACACACACACACACACACACACATATATATATATATATAAATTTGAAGAAAAATAAAACTGTTATTTCATTAAAGTCAGTCAAACAATAATATACACTATATATATATATATATATATATATATATATAAGTTTGATACTTTTAAGATTAATGATATAGTGGGTCCGTTAAACATATGCAATATTTCGATCTGTTTTGTATTATAAACTATTGTAAAATAATTAATACTTAAATAGATATTATGAGTATTAATAGTCACAAATCTTACGATCCCTAGTGGTTAGACTTGAAAAGTCTATTATTAACGTGATGTGATTATTCGAATATGGTAAAACAGATTTCTTATGTTATCAAGAACCTTTACCATCACAGGGTAATTGATCAGACCAACACGTATGTCTTTTAAAATCAGTCTTCGTCAATGAATAAATAAACAATTAAGTTGAAGAAATAGAAGGCTATTATAGTTAAAAAAAAAGAAAAAAGAAAAAAAAAGAGATGTTTTACTACTTTGTCACTTATTCAATTTAAGTTTTTCATTATTTTATTAAGTTTTGAATTATTTATTACGTCTCAGTAAAGGCTTTTTGGCTTTTAAAGGAATAATGTGCTTAGATTTTAGAAAATTGTATTAGTCATAGAATATAAGAAAAGGTAATTAGAAATACGATAGATGATGCGTAAACGAAAGTAAAAGAAAAAGGTCTGGTGAAAAATTATTAGCAGACATACAAAATTAATTTGAGCATCAATGAATCATCATAGTTGAATTGAATTTAAACAAGAAATTGCATAAAATTTATGCTATATATTTATTTTTAATATAAGTAGAAATAATGTATGGAAATATTATGAAAATTTTATATTACGGTAAACTGATTATGTAATTATAAAATGAAGATAACATAAACAAATCACTTATATAAATTAAGTCAACAACAAAGATAGTTTATTATATGAAATTCGGTTGATTACGTATAATTTCATCCTTATGCAACTCACGTTCTCGTCATTACGTATAATTAATTGAATATCGAAGACAGTTATTTCATAAAATCAATTAATATATCATTTTGCGATTAAGAAGTAAATGAAAGTAATGATACGGAGTCATTCGCCATTTAGCAAGATACAACTTTGAACAGAACTGGACTTTTTGCTTTATAATTTCTTACACAAAGAATCGAATTCGTTGATAAATTTCTATTACTAAACAAATAATAAATCAATTGTGTATGAAAATAATGTCATGATTATAAAAGCGTTTCGCCAAAACAACTATGATTACTACGTAAATAGAATATTTATATCAGCGCGTAACAAACTAATCAAATAGCTGTCACATAGTTATCAAATATTTTTAGTGTTTGCCAGTGGTGCTAAAACCAAATCTTAACGTAACGTTGAAAAGAATCTAATGCCTGTAATGTTAGAGCAAGAAAGCGAAACACTAATTGTCAACTATAAGCTGTAAATTGAATAAAAAAAAAAAAAAAAAAAAAAAAAAAAAAAAAAAAATCCGAAGGATACGGCTGCATTTAAGGCTGATAAAATATTTATATACAAGGTAAAAGAAAGTATAAAATTTGCATCGAATATTTCGTTCAAAGGATAATATGTTTCAGACGTAAAATAAAAACATAATGGGAGAGAAATTACTATTCGTCTTGGCGAAGAAAAAATCAACTATCAATTAATAAAAGATAAAGCTATTCACTCACAATGCCTTTAAAACTTGTAAGAAAAGTAGCTTTTGAAAACTTCGCAATCTCTCAATTGTCAAAACTTCTCTTCCCAGAGAAAAAAGAGAACGACAGCTTGCATTCCTTTATAATTATGCATAAGGATAATTTTGCACAAGGTAATTAATAATCTTTCAAACTTGGCGTAATATTATATATAATATAGCAATATAAGGTGTCGGATAAATAAATTGAAGAGTCATACAGTCATTTGATTATATTGAAAATTCGCTTTATTAAATGCATTACTCATAGCACACTTACAATTACATCCTTACAGTGAATATACTTTTCTTATGTACATTAATTTACAAAATAATACGCGTATACATAAATATAGCACCACGCTATTTACAGGTTCTATGCCAAGGTATGCCCGATTTTTTGTCCGCCCCTCTCTTCCATCAAGCGCACATGTGCTTTCAATATACAGATACGACCACCTCCTCCCACACCTCGTGTCATTTACAACAACACGTCTTTGACAATATAGCGACGACACGAATGTCCAAAGACTCATAAACGATACAATTTCTTGACAAATGAGCGACGACGATCATCCCCATCCCCACTTGTCACTGGCAATTGAAAATCAGTCTTGGTAAAACGAACATTTTTTTTGTGCTTATTTTTTTTGGTTTTTTGTTTTTTTTTTTTGTTTTTTTTTTTTGTTTTGTTTTTAATCATATTTTCCATATGTTGAGGATTCTAATATAATAAATAATAGTAACTAATACCGACTTTGGTAGAGAAATTGGTAACACGATAAAGCTTCCTTTAACATTCTGTTAATATTCTCGTTAATGTTGATGAGACATATATATATATATATATATATATATATATATATAATCGTTAAGCCTCTTAGAGTTTTCCAACCCAAGAGATTTGAGAGATTTTTTTTTTTTCTTACTTTCCTACAATTGGCCAAAAGCGTTACAGGACACTATCCTTGCAACTGTCTGTAAAAAACTACTACATAACTAGATTTATCTTTTGGTAATTTACTCGGCAGCGAAACTGGCGAGTAACTCGACTATTTGGTAAATTCCTGGACAGCGATGGAACTCGTAACGACGGTCTCTCTCTTTTCGCATTCGCGTAGGCCAATTTACCAAGCGACACGATAGTACTTCCTTCCGCCCTCCTAGTCCTCCTCCTCCTCCTCCACCTCCTCATCCTCCATCACCTCCTCCTTCTCGGTACGTATACTTGTTACGGACTCGATAAATATGTATAGCGCATCCGGGCTAAGAGCCGTCGATGACAAATCTCGCTCCCTCATCCATCCAGTACTGTTGCTTTATACGTCGGCCTCCTCAGGCTGTAATGACAGCTGCGTTCGGTGTGAGGGTGAGCCTCGAAAAGGGGCTGATGTTCGGCACGTAAACGTCGACGTCGACCTCGTCGTCGGAGCCGCCGCTACTGCTGCCACTATCGCTACTGGTATCGATCTCGCATGGATGGACGCCAGGACTGGCCCCGAGACAGAGGAGATCCTGCGCAAGCTGAGGCTGGAGCTCGAGGGCGGTTTGATAGGCCGTGAGGCCGCCGTACGTAACAGCGTCGAGGCACGAGCGGCACTCACGGGCGAGGTAGTGCACTACCTCGCGGCAGCCGTTCTCCACCGCTAGATGAAGCGCCGTCTTGCCGCCGAGGCCCTCCTGCGTGCCCGCGCACGCCCCTGAGAGCACCAGCAGTTCCACGAGTTCCAGCTGACCCTTGGCCGCGGCTATGTGAAGACACGTTTTACCTGGAATAAACAATGGATGTTCGGTTAAGAGATTATTGTTAATTTCATCGCGTTGGCTTTCCTCCTCCACCATGCGCGGCTCACTTAAAATTCTCCGCTCGTTATTTTTAACGAGGAAAGTGTGACGGCGAATACGCGCGCGCGCGCACCTTTGCCTTATGACGGGTTTAACCCATATATCTTTAGATTAACGGGACAGTGGCCGTCGAGGAGGTTCGGCCGAGGAGACTCTACCGAGGCTGGGAGGAGAGGAGTAGCGGGAACGAGCTCGCCCGACGACTCGATTAGATAGATCGGTCGGCGCCGATTTGGCGCGCACTGCAACGGCCTCGCTCGTTCCAAGGAGGCGAAGTGCTTCCGAGTTGGGCGGCGAAGAGTGGGGGAGGGGCGTACGCGGGGTAGGAGCCCCCGCCGCTCGTTTATCACCGCGCGACAAAAATAAACGGAGCCGGAGCCGGAGCCGAAGAATACGAGGATCTTGAGGTGGGTGGATGTGAAAGGGTGCTCATCGCGGTATACATTGTGCGGGGTGGGAGGGGAGATTCAAAATAGCGGAAGTATTTCGATATGACGTGGGGCTGATGTTGGGACATTTGGTGGCCACCTTGGAGGACCGATACGAGCGGGAATCGGGAAAAAGGAATTCGCGAAGAATTCCTTTTGCTCGTGAAAGGAATTCCTCGCGAGACAATACAGGAAATTCCCGATTACGGTGTGCATCATCCGTCAGACGCGCCTACGAGATATTTAAGAAGAAGAGATGGGGGGGCTCATTAACGCTTCTGGAGTTTTGGCCGTTTCGTCTCGGCTTTAACACGCGTACGTAACGAGATTCCCGAAATATCTCCTTGGGTGGGGAACAGCAGAATATTGTCGATCATCTCCATCGCTTCCGCCACCACCCCCTCTCGATCGACGATAATCGATTATTAGTCTTTTTTTTTTTTTTTTTTTTTTTTTTTTTTTTTTTTAGAGAGAGAGAGAGAGAGAGAAGAGACGCGTTCGGAGCATTTCACAGTAGTAATCGAGTAAGTCCGGTGATCTCCAACTGGATTGGTATTGTTAATGGGCCCTACCCCCGCGCGTATCCTCCATATTCGAAAATATCGGTGAAAAATAGAAGTGGAGACAGTGCGGGAGGAACAGTAGCCATAGAGGAGTGAAATTGAATCTTGTCGTCAGTAATGGAAGACTCACCAATATAGTTTCGGGTCTCGAGATTCTGGGTGAGTGGCATTATGTCGTACTTGGGCACGGTGCTCGCCAACCAATTTCTCTCGAGGATGTTGAGGGGCTCGAGGAGAGCCTTGGCGCTGGCAAAGTCGCCGATGGCGCAAGCCAGGTGAAGGGCCGTATTGCCGCCGACCGTTCTCAGACTCGTGTTGGCCCCAGCGAGCACGAGCCTGCGGACGATGACGGACTCGCGGCTCACCACCGCCATGTGCAGCGCCGTCTGCGAGTCGTCGTTCATGATGTCGAGGAGGCAGGGGTGCGGGGCCATCTGAATGAGCCAAAGCGACGCCTCCACGTGACTCATGGCTATGGATATATGCAGCTGCCTGTTGACAATAACGCAACGTCAATATCTGATTAGTTGAGTGAGAATGAGGATGAGGATGGGGTGGAGGAGGAGGAGGAGGAGGTGGAGGAGGAGGATGATGTTGGGGAGAGGGGTGGGGGGGGGGGGGAGGGGGAGGTAGAAGAGAGGTGTAGCGGCAGGTTATAATCCGGGTAGGAAGGGATCATCATGGACGCTGAGATGAGAGCTAGTGCTATTGTTACTACTGTTAGTACTTACGTGTCGCCGTCAGCGTCCTGCTTGAAGAAGAACTCGTAGGGTTGCTCAAGGAACTCGGCACCCTGCTCGGATCGCTTGACGTTCAACTGATGGTGGAGGAGGAGGAGCTGCTGGCGTCTGCCCGCCTCGAGATTGTTGATGCCGGCGTGCTTGAGGCTGAGGTTACGCACGAGGTGCTCGCTGAGCTCGAGCTCGGCGCTCGCGGACGGCGGTCCCAGGGCTCTCATCTCCGTATTCTGGTCGCAGTAGCCCGTGAAGTTGCCGCTCGTCGATTCGCCACCACCCGCGCAATTCTCACTCCACATCTCTCGATGATTGGCCGCTGAGCTCGAAGAAGCACACGTGTATCCGTGCGCCGCTGGCGTCTGTCCGATTTTCGCTCTCGCTCTCGCTCTCTCTCTTTGACCGCACGACCGCTCGGCTCGGACTCTCGAACTCGACTGATGCGCCGCTCTCGCGGCCGTTCGACTCATGGCCGAGGAGGCGCTTTCGTGGTGGCGGGAGGCGCAGCCTTGGAAGTGGGGTGAGACCGGTGTGCCGGTGCCGGTACCGATGCCGGTGCCGGTGTCGCTCGAGCCGCTATTGCTGCCGTGGCCCCGGGGAAGCTTAGATTTTGGGAGGGAAGCAACGGGCAGCCCCGTGGCGTAGGGGTGGGATTTCCCCGCCCGAATCTTGACTGGTCTTCGCGGTGGCGTCGACATGTTGGGAAAAATCTCTTCTACGTCGTTCGGCTTTTTTGTTGCTTTTATGCGTCGACGGGCATTGGCGAGGGAAATAGAATCGGCGCCACAGCGATCCAATAAATTCTTGCTCTGGTTTGCGATAACCTCGCCCTCCATTATTACTAACCCCCTCCTCGATTATGTTTCCCTAATGCAAATGCAATGGACCTTATACGCAACGAGCAAGGATTAATTGACTGCGCAACAGTTGGATTCCTTTACCAATGACTCTTACATTCTTTTAATGTGCCGTCCGTGGATTTTGAGTTTTCTTTGACAAGCTGGCGATGAGGGGGCAAGGGGCGCGCTCTTCTCACTAAAATCAATGAGAGAAATGAAATATAGTCGATTGATTATTGAATAAAGAGAGGCTGAGAATCGCGGAAGAATTTCATGTTGGAAACCCAAGTGCATTGTTCATTGCTCGAATGAGCGGCAATTCGCTTCGAGTCAGTATTCGTTGTCAATGTTATAATAGAGTTAAAATCGCAATGTAATATTATTCTTCGGTTGCAATTTGACACAAGTAAAACTACGGAGAGATCCATTTATTGGGCGAATTACTTGATCGTTGTTATTCATCAATTATCGAAAAAACAAACAAAAAAAATCTCGATAATATTATAATTTGTTTTTCTACTAAAAATGACTGAAAGATGACACGTGATCTTCCGTAAAACTTTGTTATGCAATTCGAATATTTGCTATTCGAGTTCCACTACTATTCTACATTCAATAATGAGGATTATAATAAATAATTGTTAGGGGACTGCTGCATACCTCGCACTCTGTTTTATCTATTTTCTACTTACATGATAAAGTATGAGCCTAGATAATGGACAGACCAATATGGCGTACTATTACTATATGTACGTGACAAACGGCACCAAGCAAGGATGCATATTAATACAAGGCGGACCATTTATGTGGCCTATAAAATTAAAGATAATTTATATCGATAATAAATGCTAAACAATGTATTTTAATTTTTCAGATGTGCCATGTATGCATATTGTAAGCCTGGAAAACTTTGCAAAAAGACTACGGCCAATGCAGTTTCCATCTACATATGAATTTGAAATGCCGTATAACCTAATGATTGTGTGCGTTGCATTAACAATACCGTATTTTGAAATAAAATGTGTACGGTGTGTGGGTGGATGGGTATGGTTTCACTAGTATTAGAATGAGAAACTTAATGGAATTTGTCCCTTCAATATAAAAATCAAAAATAATTTGTCCCCCTTGGCTTCGTTCGCACGAAATACTCCATTTTTAATTTAAAATCATCAAATGTATGAGACACTGGAGTGCTGGGGGTGGGGGATGGGAGGGAGCGGGATGAACAACGGTGGTGCTAGAATAATAAAGCTTTATAACTAATATTAGAAAATTAATATTAGAAAAGGCGTAATTGTTGAGTTGAACGAAAAATAAGAAGAAGAGAAAATAAATAAATAAATAAATAAATAAATTATATATAAAAACCAATGTAATTGTAATAGGCAGTCGTTAATTGTATTCTCGGCCATTAGTCCCAGTTTACAAATGCCGCACTATTAATAACGACGTAAATGCGTAACTACGTAACTAATGCAAAATCGCGGGAGTATAGAGAGAAGAAAAAGCATAGGGGCCGCTTAACGCAATGTTCCGAAACATGTTGCTTCGGGGGAAACCCAACTCGTAACAATGGAGCTTGTGCTACGGCCCCAGAGGCTCGGCATGTGTACACACACGGGCAAAAAAAAAAAGAAGCGATATCCGGTACTCGTTACGGGGGAAGGACCGACGCATGTAAGTACCAGTCGAAGCCAAGGCCAGAAAAACCCAAAATTAGACCTCCACCCCATATACCTGAGCCTCGCTTAGATTGTGTAGGCACGGGAAAGCCCCGTGTAACACATTTTCCACATGCCCCAGCAGTACGAGCCACACGTGGGAGGAACACGTACTTGCCTGCTTTTACGGGGCTACGGTACTTCGAGCCCTCGATCTCCGTTCTCCTCCTCTTCCTCCTTCTCATCGTTCTAACCACCCCCTCCCCCCTTCCACATTCCACAGCAATCCACCGATCACCCGATTCCCCTTTCGGGAAACGGCCACGATCCAACTGCCAAACGCTACCGCTACCGTCGCCCCCGACAACTAAAAAAAAAAAAAAAAAAACACTGATGGGTAAAAATCGATGGGCGCCTGCACTAAGGCAGGAGCGTTCGCGGAGGCTTTTGAGGAGAGCGGGCGCCCAGATATGATCGCAAGTTGTTTCGGCAAAAGTCGCTACCTCTTGACTTCTCGGTTTATGTTTGTTATTTTATCGAAGCCTCGGGAAGCCTCGACTTTGGTGTGCGAGCGCACTCTCTTCTTACAGCTAATCGCATTTCAACGAATGCAAGCACGCGCGATTCCACTCCATGCTCGCAATAATTTACAGAGCTCGACTTTTCGATCTGTCCTCGGACTTGTCTTTGACGTTGAATTCCGTTAGCGCAGGAAGCTTCGCCGCCGTTCTTACGGTAAGGAGATTCACGCCAGACTCTGTAAGACTTTGATTTAAACGAGCAGCCGATCAACTCGGATCGTAACTACGAGACAATTGAACTCGTGAATGCACCAGCGCAAACGAGCTTTAATTATCCTTTAAAATGATAATCTATGCCAATGTAATTTTTAAATAATGATTGCGTAAGCAATTCAACATTTACGCTAAAAATTCACTAATCATCCTGAAATCTCAAATGAAGAAAGGAAAGAACCAACGCCATTCGTGACAATCGTGGCGCTTAAAATCACATTTATTACAAAATTATACACGTGCGTGCGCGAACGCAATGCGACAGAGTGTTAGAGGGCGGGGGGGGGGGTAATTTCAAACATTCATTCGCAATGGGACTGTATTCAAGTGGTAAAACAGAGAGGTCTAGCAACGTGAGTAATATAAAAGTAACGCCTTAAGGGTCGTAAATTTAAAGACCATTTACGTATGGATAACCGTTCGATTGATAAATCGATAAATGTCCCTTTAATTATTTTTTGCATGCTTATCGACCTGCGAAAATAGATAGCAAGCGCGACATCGGCAAAAGTCTGTCTAGGATGAAAAGCGAACGTTTTCCTCGACACAAATGCAAATCAAGCGCCCGCACCCCTTTCTCCGAGCAACTATAAAAATAATATGCGTCCGAGTTGGGCAGCCGAGCGAACTTTAGATTTTCGGGGAACGCGGTGAAGTAGACGTGCAGCGCAGCGAAAAGTCGTGCAAGGACGGTGAGAGGAGGGGGGGGGGGGG